TAGTAGCAGTAGTAGCAGTAGTACTAGCAGTATTCCTCCTCCTCTCCTTCCTCCTCCTCCTCCTCCTCCTCCTCCTCCTCCTCCTCCTCCTCCTCCTCCGCCTCCGCCTCCGCCTCCGCCTCCGCCTCCTAATCCTCCTCCTCCTTCTGCTGTTCCTCCTCCTCCTCATCATCACCACCACCACCACCACCATCATCCCCTTCGGTGGCGCCGAGCTCCTCCTGGCGTCTGCGCCGCACACGGCCGCGGCCGCGCGGCGCTCGCCGCCGCCGCGAGGCGCGGCGCCCTGCTCTCCCCTGGCTGTTGCCGAGCCCCGGAGAGTGGGAGAGCGCGGAGGGAACGAAGAAGGGGGAGGGAAGGACCCGAAGAGGCTCCTCGAGGCTCCTCCTCCTCCTCCCCCTCCTCCTCCTCCTCCTCCTCCTCCTCCTCCTCCTCCTCCTCCTCGTCCTCCTCCTCCTCCTGCTCCTCCTCCTTCTCCTCCTCCTCCGCTTCCTGCCTACTGCGACCGCCAACGCCAACGCCAAGTGCTACGACCGCAGGAGTCGGCGCACGACCACACCAAGGCGGTCTGCGAAGCACAAACTGGCCAGAAACGGCCGAGACGGACCCACGATCTTCGAGACTTGGAGACTTTCGGCAGGCTGCCCCGCGCGCCGGGTTGGGCACACCGCGCGCAAGGGGGGACAGCCTTCGGCCAAGGACATCACCATCCTCGGGGCCTACCCCATCTACAGCAACAGCCACCAGCGCCACAACTACCCGCCCGACGTGGGCGACAACACCGAGCACGGCAAGGACGGAAAGAAGAACGAGGACGAGCAAAGGAAGGGGGCCATCCTCAAGCCAGATGCCGCGGAGTTCGCCAGAAGGAGGACGACAACAACGACGACGAGGAATTCCGACTGAAAATCGGTCTCCTCGACACCTCCCCGGGTTCATCCTGGCATTTGTTTTCATATTGGACTGATGCTTGCCAGCCCTGGGGTCCAGGACCCCCCCCCCCCCGAGAGGCCAACGATTGAAGAAACACGCAGACGAAAAACAAAGCACAGCAAATATCGAGGCAGGGGAGGTGTCCCTGACAGCTAATCTCATAGGCCTTACTGTCGGAGGTCGGCGAGGATCTCTTGGGTCGGCGCTCGACTGCTCCTCGGCCCCCGGCGCGCGGAGCGCGCCAGGGACGGCGGCGGAGGCGCCGCCAGGGGGCGCCCGGTGCCCACCCGAGACCGCGTGGACCTCCAGCAGTCTGTGCTTATGTGATTACCTTCGGTCGGGCATGTCCTCCTACAGGCGGACTTTCGAAGAAAAGTAAAGCTTGATCAAAGAACACCCCAACGTAGTCAAAAGAGCACGAAAGATCGTCACCTGACTGTGTTTTTACTATTCTTGAATGCAGCTGCCTGTTTTCGAAAGCCCCCCCCTCCCCTCCACTCCGGCCATCTCTAGGGGCGGCTCAGCGAACCAGATCCGTTTCTGAGGACCCTGGAGCCCGACAAGGGCCCCAGGAGGATCGAAGAAAGGCGCAAGAAACCAGAAAAATGCGACGTCGGAGTTCTGCGATGCTGCGAAAAGGCCCAGACAGCCACGAATGCTGGAAAAGCCTGGATCGTCGATCCTCCAAACTTCCCTTCCCTTCCCGCCAAAATCGGAAGATGTCTGAGCCCCCTGGAGGCCCAGAAAGAATAAAACGCGCCCAACACCAAGAGATCAGATGTATGATCGTTGTCAAAACGTACGGGGCCAAACCAAGTCCCAACTCTTTCCCCAGAGCTGGCTGTTCATCCCCGAGCCGACTCTGGACGGTCCCAGGGCCACAAGGCCGAAAGAAACCGAAAACAGCGATCACCCTCCACGTTGACCAGCGTCGGTGCGTTGATAGATCTGGGGCCTCACACCGTCGCGTCGGAGAAAAACCACGGCGAGACGTGCTCAGGGGAGAACCATTGACGTGGAGTCGGCGGCACATCGCCGATAGATCGGCGGTGGGCCCCCGATAGCGAAACCGCACGCTCTTGAGCGGGATGGGCTATCACACCCCCATCGTTAGGTCGGGCCTGTCCCCCTGCACGGGGGATTTTGGGCGAAAAATCAGAAATAGCCCCCAAAAGATACCCCCCACACAAAAAAATGATCGAAACAAGTTATATCTAAATCAAATAAAATGTATAATATCATAGATATATATATATAAATATAAATAGTTTGTGTGATACACAAATACTATACATACATATACATACATGCATGCATGCATATATACATACATACATACATACATACATACATACATACATACATACATACATACATACATACATACATGCATACATACATGCATGCATGCATGCATGCATGCATATATACATAGATACATACATTAATACATGCGTACATACCTACATACATACACACGTACATACATACATACATACATACATACATACATTCATTCATTCATACATACATACATACCTACCTACCTACCTACCTACCTACCTACCTACATACATACATACATACATACATACATACATACATACATACATACATTACATACATGCATACATACATACATCCATACATCCATCCATGCATGCATGAATGCATACATGCATGCATGCATGCATGCATGCATGCATACATACATACATACATACATGCATACATGTATACATGCATGCATGCGTACATGCATACACGCATACATGCATACATGCATACATGCATACGTACATACGTACATACATACATGCAGACATGCATGCGTGCATGCGTGCATGCGTGCGTGCGTGCGTGCATGCATGCATACATGCATACATACATACATGCATACATATCTACATACATACATCCGTACATACATACATACATACATACATACATACATACATACATACATACATACATACATACATACATACATATGCATGCATACATACATACATACATACATACATACATACTACATACATACATATACATACACATACATACATACATACATACATACATACATACATACATACATACATACATACATACATACATACATACATACATACATACATGCATGCATGCATGCATGCATGCATGCATGCATGCATGCATGCATGCATACACACATGCATACATACACACATATAGATAATGACTTGTTTATCCGGGGATTCGCACTCCTCCGTTGCAGCTCTGCGAACGGTGGGGCTGTGCCGCGCTCCCTCGATAGAAAAAAACACAACCCGCCAAAGGCATCCTAGGGAAGACCTGTGAAGCGTGCCTCGAGGGCGCTCCTCACATGGGCGGAGGGTCGTAGCTCATGAAGCCCACCGGCGGGTAGACGTTCGGGGTCAGGCCGCCCGGGCTCTTGGGGAATGGCAGGCCCCTGAAGAGCTCGACTCCGTCGAAGTTCCCGGTCCCGTTCGCTACGCCAGTCGCGTCTGGGGTCCCGAAGAACGGACCGTAGTCGCCAGTGGCCATGTCCTGGAACAAGAGGCCGAAGAACGCAACCATGGCCAGACGGCCGTTGTTCAGCTCCATCAGCTGCCTCTCTTTCCACTCCGGCTGGTTCTGATCCGCCACCAGCGTGGGCGTCCAGCCGACGAGGTCCCAGGGCGCCTCCTTCGGAGGCTTGCAGACGTATGTGAGAAGCCACTCCGTGACCATGATGGTGAACACGACCTGGAAGGCGCCTCCAATCGGCAGCTGAGTGTAGTTGATCAGAGGATCGTCCGAGACGCGCATGCGCGCAGCTGCGTCACCGACGGGGTGCCATCCGGTCGCAACGTGGAACCAGCCCAGCACCGCGAGCATGGCAACGCGGGCATGCTTCAGCTCCACCGCGCGCCAGTGCAGCAGCTGCTCTTCACTCTTGCCAGCCATGAGGTTGAGCGGGTCCCAGACGTCGTCGGGGAACGGTCCCCCGGTGCCCCGCAGCGCCATCGGGAGCTTCGCCGCGGCGCTCCCGGCCGGAGGGGGCAGTGCGGGCATGGGCATGCTCTCGCCGACTTCCAGAAACTCTGGGCGCGGGGACATGTTCGTCTTCGGCTTCATCCCCTCGCCGTACGACACCTGGTCGAGGGTGCCCCGCGCTGTCGCGCTGGCGCCCAGCCACATCTCTGGGCCTGTGGTGCCGACGGTGCCGTTCTGGAACATGAGGCCCATGATGGCGACCATCGCGAGGCGGCCGTTCGCGATCTCCGCGTTAAGCTTCTGCTTGCGCACCTCTGGGTCCTTGATGGAGGGGGCGTTGGGGATGCCGAAGGGGCCGAACTCGTAGCCACTGTTGTTGACGCCGCCCGCGATGCTCTTGTTCCTGATCTCGGTCAGGGCAATGACGAGGCGGGAGCTGAGCTTGCCCGGCAGCTTGGTGGGGTCCTGGTATGCCGCGAACAGCTCCATGGACAGACCGAAGAGCACGATCTGAAACCACCCCACGGCTGGCACACGCGTGATGGCGTCGAGCCCGTGGGGGACGTCGGCGAACTTGATGCCATCAGAAGGGCTGAGGTAGCCCGGCCACTTGAAATACTCCGGCACGATGTACCCAATGCATGCAATCATGCTGACGCGCCCGTGCTTGATCTCGACGCAGCGGCGGCGGTAGAACTCCTGCGCATCGCCGTCCGAGCAGTAGCCCGCGGGGTCCCAGAAGCCCGTCGGCGGCTGGACGCCGAGCTCGTTCTCGAAGGCGCGCAGGGCTGGGGCGGCCTTCTTCGCGGCGCGGCGGCGGCCCGCCGCAGACACCACCCCGGCAGCGGCCACCAGGGTGCACGCCGCGGACGTCAGGCCGGCGGGCGCGCCGCCCTCGGAGGCGGGCCCCGCGGCGGCGGCGGCGGCGCGGAGGGCGGGCGCGGGGCCGGCGGTGGGCGCCGTGGGCGCGGCGACGAAAGCCAGGGCCATGATCGCTGCGGATCTGGCCAGGGAGGTGGATGTCGCTGCTGCCTGCGGGGCAGCGGCCTTGGACGAGCTCTCGAGCCCGATGTCCTTGAGCCAAAATGGCTACGGATATACATTTATATATATATATATACCCATACACATACACACATATATAACTATACATATGCATATACATATACATATACATACACATGTGTAGATACATGTTCATATACATATACATATACATATATATATATATATATATGCATGTACATATACATATACAAAATGCAAATACATAAACATATACACATACATATACATATACATATACATATACATATACATATACATATACATATACATAGACATAGACATATACATATATATATATATACACATAGACACAACCATCGACACAAACATGTGCGTATACATATACAAATACAGTTACATCTGTCTATATATCTACATAGACAAATACATATACATATACATATACAGATACATACACGTATACGTAGACATATACATATACATATGCGTATACACATACATATACACATGCATATACACATAGCTATAAATACACATAAACATATACATGTACGTATATATACATATACATATACGAACACATATACACATACATATACATATACATATACCTATACATATACATATACACATAAACATATACAGTTGAACATACATAGACCTATACATATACACACACATATACCTATGTAGATACCTATACATGTACATATACATATACACCTGCATTAACATATACATATACATATACACATACACCTGCATATGCATATACATATACATATACATATACATATACATATACATATACAGATACACATGCACATACATATACATATACATATACATATACCTATAGTTATACCTATACCTGTACCTATACCTATACCTAGACCTATACATATACATATACATATACATATACTACATATACATATACATATAATGGCTATGCTTCGCCATTTAAAAATATTCCTCCTGTAGAGGGACAGGCCCGAATGGGAGACTGGGGCTCGGTGCGCTCCCGCCCTGAGCCAACCCCCGTCCCCAGCCGTTTTCGGACCATGCCTCGGGCCTCCGGTGGCCCTTCGGGACGAGCCGGGCCGCCCAGAACGGCCTCGGCGAGGCGGAGCTCCTGGAGAGCATCCCGTGGATGGGGAGCGGCCGCGAAGCGACGGAGAACCCCCGAAGACATCGAGGCCTCGAAGCCTGGCGTGGCCCCTGACATCCGCAAAGCTCCACCACCTCGGGGACTCCCCCCAAAACGCTGCCCCCGATCGAGGAAAGGGAGGAGGAGGAGGAGGAGGAGGAGGAGGAGGAGGGAGAGGAGGGGGAGGAGGAGAACGTGGAGGGGAGGGGGGGGGGAGGGGGGGGGAGGAGGATGTGTAGAAGAAGACGGTGATGCTGATGGTGAGGGTGAGGGCGTGGGTTGGGTGAGGGTCAGGGCGGGGGGGGAAGGGAGGGAGATGAAGGGGAGGGTGAAAGTGAGGGCGACGGGGAGGGTGATGATGGGGATAGGGATGGAGATGGGCACGAGGTTGATGATGATGACGATGATGACGATGATGATGATGCTGATGATGATGATGATGCTGCTGATGATGGTGATGATGAGATTGATGACGATGGAATTGGCTACGATGGTGAAGATTGGGATGATGATGATGATGATGATGATGATGATGATGATGATGATGATGATGATGATGATGATGATGCTAAAAAGATTGGTGATAAGGATGACGACGTTGCTTATGATGACACTGATGATGGCGATGACGAGGGTGGTGACGATGAAGACAACGACGATGATGACCAACGACGAAACAGTCGATGAAGCCATACAGGGAAAGGCACTAGCATGCGTCGGCTGGGACCGCGGTACAGGCACTGGGCGGAATCACTGCCAGAACGTCCCAAAGGACGGGCACCAAGGATACCGCAGGCAAATGCACGCCAAGCAGAAATGAAGAGGAGACGACCAGGCGCGATCGGACTATACACTACGCGCGCCACCCGTGAGTCTGGGGGCCACCAAGAGGGCGTCAGCGGCAGGCACGGGCGGAGGCACGGTCGAACTTGTCAGGACATCAAGCACGGGCGACTGCAATCAGAACAGGCGAGCCAGTGTGTGCAGCCACAGTCTGCTCGCATCGCTTGCGCGACGGCTGACCGGACCAAGGCGACGGGGTGGGAGCTCCATCTGCGGCACTCCGGACAGATTCTGCGACCGCCCCGGCAGGGCAAGGCGGCAGCAGCATCCCGCCCGTGTACTCGTCCGAAGAGAGGAAGGCGGGCGGCGCGGGCCGCGGAAAGAGAGAGGCACCCACCCGCAGCAGCAAGCGCAACGCATCCCTGCCTTTGCGAGCCAACGCGCCCCCGAGCAGGTCAGGATCCAAAGACAGGAAGCCACGGCGAGACACAACCCGACCATCACCACCAGCAACGGCAGAGGCACAGCGGAGCAGCAGCAGGAGAGAGACACGCAGGAGGGGACGCACAGCAACAGCAACAGCGACGACAGCAGAAGCAGCAGGGGAGTACACAGGGACGGCACAAGAACGAACAAAAGACCTGGGCCCAACAAAAGCAGAAAGCGGAACGCTCGACCTTCTCAGTACCTTGAGCAAGCGATGGCAAAGCAAGGTCAGCTGTGCCCCGGCTTCGAAAGACCCCCTCAGCCGAGAGCAAGATCGAGGCACGAGCCAACGAACCCATATGATTACGGACGCGTTGAATGACAGCCCGCATCGGGGGGGGCGCTGCATCAGCTGTCTCAACCTGCCTTCAAAAATGTGTTCAACTGGCGTCCCGGACGGAGCGATCCGCAACACCAACTGACAGCGGGCGTGACCAAAGCATTCGACCGCAGAGCAGAGGGCAACATCACGCCGGGCGCCGGGAACCCGACCGTCGACACAGCGCAGGGCGGGGAAAGGTGAAGCGAGGCCAAAAAGGGTAGAGGGGGCGGGTCGAGGTCGAGAAGAAACCAGCAACACAGGGGACGGTGCTGGTAGTGACACTGCTCGTCGGGGCACTCGCGTCAATCAGAAGGACAGCACCTAGGCTGAGAATGAAATCAAACCGAAATCCAGACCCCACGGCACAGACCCCTCAGGAACGCAACAAATAAAAGCATCGAGACAGCACGGCAAAAATACAAGTTTCAACCTGCAAAAACTTAAAGCTAATCAGCAAGAGAGAAGCGGAGGGGAAACCACTTCAACAATATTCTGGGCACTTCGCCAGACAGCACGCCAGATTGCTCCGTTTCTCCCACAGCACGAGCGCGTTGGGTTTGCGTCGCCGACGCTTGGTCATCAGGGCACACATGCGCGGCGACAGGGGCGTCTCCTGGAACATCGTACCCACGCAGAACAGAAACGAGTTCACTAACAATTCACGGAATAACCGACCAGGGATAAGCTTCAGGGAGTGGCCAAGAATCTGCTGCAAGACAGCCTCAATCCGCAGTCAGGCCAGGGATCCATGAACCGCGCGGTAAACAGACGCCCGCGCCACTGAAACTGTACCGACCGCCAGCACGAATGAACTGCAACCCTCTATCTTCAAGTTGGAACAGAAGAGAGTCGGGTCGATGGAATTGGAGCACGTAGCTGAGCACAGACAAAATCCGAGTATTGCAGGCGGCAATCGCCTTAGCTAGGCCGTCACCCACTGCGTCGGGAAGCTATTGATGTGAGCATCAGGCCCCACGGAATCCCCCAAATTCCTGCGCCAAGTCACAGCTGAGAACCGCTCCCATCCACCACACAGGCTCCCAAGAAACACTTGTAAGGTATCCAGGTCCAGAAGACAGACAAGAATCGCAAATCTCCCGAAGTACAGCTCCAACCAGGCACGGTCAGCGAGCAAGCACAGCTCACCACTGAAAGGCTGAACCTGACTGGACCTGCAGAAATGAGCCTACGGCACACTAGGTCACGCCACAACAGCAACCCCGAGAAACATTGTCCTGGCACAGAGTGTCGACAACCCAACAAAAAAATCCAGGCTTGGATACCCATGTGCTCTAGAACGAACAGTGCCCAGTCAATGAGAAGACTGGGAAATGCAGCAAGTGAACGGAGGAGCTGATTCCTGCCGACCGTCAAGGTACCCCGACAAACCATTAGCTTCACATGAGATAACGTTACCAAGAATAAAGCGACCCGAGACGCCATCAAACTAACAGGAACGAACGGCACGCCCGCGTGATCCGAGTATGAGGATGCGCGACAGCCGACGTCCCAAGCTTGCAATCAGTGCAACCCATCGAGAGCGAACGAGTCGACGAAGGCTTCCAAGCAGGGACGCCAGTCGAGTCAGTAGGGTAACCCATGTTAACAAGCAGCCGCAGCTGAGCCGTCAGCTTGGCGATAAACGCATCCACGCCTTTGCGAGCCATCGCGCCCCTGAGCAGATCAGGATCCAAACAGGTCGGAGAGGAAGGAGCAAGTAAAGCCAGGGCAGCTGTACCAAGGCTTCGAGCTGCCCCCCAGCTGCGAGCAAGCTCGAAGCACCAGGGAAGTGTGTTTCGAACAAGAGCCCATATGGCTACGGAATACGACGATGCTAACGACAATGATAATGATAATGAACATGACGATGATGATGATGATGATGATGATGATGATGATGATGATGATGATGATGATGATGATGACGATGATGACGATGATGATGATGGAAATAAACAGGGAAGAAGAAGAAAAAGAGGAAGGAGTCGATAAAGAAGAAGATGATGGTGGTGATGAGAAGGGTGATGTTGCTTATGGTGGTGATGATGATGACGACGACGATGATGATGAGGATAAGGATAAGGACGAGGATGACGATAAGGATGAGGATGAAACTTAAGATGAGGATGAGGATAAGGATGATGCTGATGGTGATGAGTATTGTTATGATGCTCGAATACTAATAGTGATAATATTAAGAAGAAGAAGAAGAAGAATAAGGATAAAAAAATTGTGATGATGACAATGATGATGAGGAGGAGAGGGTGCGGATAAAAATGAGAATGATAATGAGGATCTGGATGAGGATGAGGATGACGATG